CAGTCCTTCGTGCCGACGGGGCAGTGCTTTGTGCAGACGGGATGGGACAGTCCTAGTGCAAATGGGACAGTTTTCGTGCAGACACGGGGAACAGTGTTTAATCAAATTAGCCTTTGCTGATGCAATTCATAAGGGAATGTTCTTTTCTGTTGCAAAATCTTTGCTTCTCCAAACAGGCTTGGATTACTGCATGAGAAAATTGTCTTTTGTTTCCATCGTGGTGTTTGCAAGACAGTCTGAGATGGGGAAATGGAAAATGTATCTGATTTGAGAAAAAGACAGTGGAACGGCCACAGCCATTTTTTTTTTCCCCTGAAAGAGACTATTTTGCTTTTCCTTGCTATGCCCCCTTGGAAAGAATGTAAATTCCTGTTAATAGTGCTGGGTGGCAATGTCGCACCTGCCTGAGTCTCTCTCTGCCTCTGGGATCTACCGAATACTCATCACATTCTGACCAAGCTGGCTGGGGCCTCGGGGACCAGCTCTGCAAGGGCAGGTGCAAGGTCTGCCACTGAGTTTGCTGAATAACGTCCCCAGAGACCCCAACAAAAGCCCAAGGAAACTAAATTAGCGTGTGTCATAGCCAGTCCCTAGAAACCCACAGGAACATGTGAGTCATGGCCTGGTGGCCCAGAAACCATCCGCACAGGCATGCATCGAGTTGACCCGTGAGTGTGCCCTTCCCAGTGGGGGAGGCTGGGGTGTGAAAAGGCTCCTAGAAGATGCTGACTCCTGAGAGTGCCTGAAATTTTACATTAGCTAACATATTAGATGGTCAGAAAAAGCCATTGCTCTTTTTGAAGTACTTCAGGTGCAAACAAAACTATAGGCCTGAGGTCCTATAGATCCATCAGTACTTGTGACTCAAAGGAGGCCTCCTTTGTAGTGCAGCACATACCTGCAGGCAACAAGTACCAATCCAGGCCTGGCCACGCCCAGCTGACCGCTCCCTCCCCCTGCAGACTGAGCAGCTTGCCCACTGTGGAAAGCCTGGAGCCACTGATGCTGGACAAATACCAAGTGCTCTGTGAACACTCCGAGATGAATGAATACATAAAGGGACAAGTGAGTTGTGGGGAAAACCTGAGAGTGGGTGTCCTACTTCTGCGATGCACAGGCTGCCAGCCCACCTCGCAGACATGGATGACAGCCTGTGTCCCTCACAGTGGCCCCCAAGTGCGGCATCTGGCAGGGACTGTGACCCCAAGGACACTATGAGTAACAGGAGTCAGGGAGTCAATCCTGGGGGCGCCTGCAGGCTGGTTTCTCCCCTCTAGTTCTTTGTCCCACTGTCTCTCCCACTCAGCACCCCATATATCTGACTCAGCAGACAGCCTCTCCTGCGCCTTCCAGGGGGGCCAGCACTAACAGGGGTGTGGCCTTCCAGCTCCTGTCCATTCTCTTGCTTTTCTGTCTCGGGTCTCAGCCCTGCCCACTGTGCACAGCTCGGTGCTTTTCCCCGACCTGTTCCTCCCGCTCAGCCTGTCCCTGCACCTGTCCCTACCCAACGCCACCTACTCATTCCTGGAGACCCAACGCCAGCCACCTCCTCTGTGTAGCTGGCTGCAATCTCTCAACAGAGCGTAGTCATTTTCCTCTGTGCCTCCAAGAACAATCCTTGCCAATTCCACTGAGATATTTTATCGATTCAAAACAAAGTGGCAGGTCCAGCAAAAATGACAGCTGCTCCTTGGAGCGCTTGCTTTGCCCAGGAGCTGGGCTATGCACGCCTCACCTGTAATCCTAGATAGCAGGTAGGTCCTCTCTATAGGAGCTTTGGGATCAGGGAGACTGGGTTGTAACTCCTAAGTCCATCATTTGCCAGTTGTGGGAACTTAGGGAACCTTCTGGGTTTCCCTCCAGTAGGGAAAATGGACCCGCCTTCCAGGTTTTGGTGAGGTTAAAATGAGCTCTTGGGAGAAGTCCTTACAACCTGGAGTACGTGGCAGGGGTGGAGCCTCCCGAAATGCCTCATGAGAAGCCAGCAGACAGAGGGCGTGTCTAGCTGATCTTTGCCTCCCTGGGGCCTGGCTTGAGGTTGGTGCCATAGCTGCTCCTTACCAGAGTGGCATATCCCCCCCTGCAGGGCAGAGACATCCTGGAGAGATATGACAGGGCGTTATGGGCTTCCCTCACCCCAACTTGCTAGCGCATGCCCCACCTCCACTAATGGAGAAAACCGTGAGGAAGGGCCATTCCGATTCCGTGCAGGGAGGCCCCACCTGCTGCCTCTCACCCCCATGAGGGGTGAAGGTGCTGCCTGCCGATTTGCCCAGGCACAAGGAAAAATTGTTCAGATCTTGGTGAGTTGGTGAGCAGGGGATGAAATGCTTGCGCTATCAGATCACATTCCTACAGGCTACCCTATTTCCTGCGAGACTGGGGTCCAGTGGCCACTGCAGGGGCGACGGGTGCCGCCGAGGTCTCTTGATTGCACAGCCTGGGGCTCCCTGACCAAATGAAATGTCGTGTGATACCTGCGTGCTGGGAAGTGGGGCTGGCTGCCAGTCTGGCCCCAGGAAATGGTTGTCTGGTCTCTGTGGACCAGCTGCTGGGGCCACCACTGGCCGAGAAATCCAGAGGAGCCGCGCTGCCTGCCCCCCCACCCCGGGGTCCCTGGGAGCTGGCTCTCACCTGTGCATGTGAGCTGGGTGCAAAGTGCACCCCAGCAGCGCTGCCTTTGGGCTTTGGTTTCTAGGAGACAGGTTTCTGTTCAGATGGGTTTGCAGGGCAGTTCCACGGGACGGGAGTTGCTGCACTCGCAGGGACGTTCCTACAGCTATTTCTACTGCTGCTGCTACCACTAGTAACTGGAGGACGCGCCCTCAATATGACAGACAGCAGAACCCGCGCAGGTGCCAGAAAATCCTCTTAAGCACTGCCACTAGGATGGAGGTGCCCTGAGCAGGCGGGACCCCTCCTTCTCTTTTCCCACATGTACTCGGGACAGCAGAGAGGACAGCAGGGCGGCAAGGGGTGTGCGCCTGATCCTGTGGGGGAGGTGGCAGGTGCTGCCCATCCTGGAGCAGGGGTGGAGGTTCTTCTGGGGAATGGGGAGGGGCCTCGCTGGACCCAGAAGGGGCAGAGGAGGGGCGGGGTCTGGGACTGGCCCTAGCTCTGCGTCAAAGCACCCTGTGGACTTGGGCAAATCACCTCCTAGAAGCAGTGGTCCCTGCCTGCTTTGGGGACTTTTGTGACCCTTCCACTTGCCTCAGGTTGGGTGTCTTTTGGTGAGCCCCAGAGCACGGGGAGGCAGGCTGCCTCTTTACAGCAAATGGGGCCCATATACGCGGTGCACCTTGGGAGCCAGGACTCTGGGGACAGGAGTGGGGAAGGAGCAAGCCACTCTCCTGAAGACGCTAAGGAACTCGGGGAACAGGCCGCAGGCGCCAGGGCATTGGAGGACAGGCGGTCTGAGGTCTGAGGGAGGCGAACCCAGAACCAGAAGGGTGCCCGGGCTGGCGAGAGGACTCCTAGGTGAGTCACAGAGGAGGGTGTGGGGAGGGGTGGCGCCCGAGGGTCCTCATCACCACGCAGGTGCCTCGCAGCCCAGGCCACCCGCAGGTGCTCTGGAAGGTGGGAGAAGCTGGAGGGGGGTCAGCTAGAGACCTGAGCTGCCGAGTGAGGAGCCAGCCCGGCGGGGGCAGCATGCCCAGCGAGGAGGCCGCTCCTGCTTCCACCCCGTCCCCTCGGTTCCCCGAGTGCGCACGTGGGAGGGAGCGGGTCCCACACACCCACGCGCCCGCAGCCACATTCCCGAGCTCGCGCTCCCGCCGGGCCGGCCCATCTCCGCGCGCCTGTGGGCACCGCCCCGGGCCTCCTCGCCGCCACCTGCTGCTCGGGAAAGCGCGGGAGCCTCCGGTGCCTCGGTCCCTGCCCGGCGGCCCCCACCACCCCCGCCCCCAACCAGCCGCCCCGCCGCCCACCCTCCAGGGCCAGGCCGCGGCCCGGCTTCCTCCGGCCCCTCCCCAGCGCAGGGCGGGAGGCGGAGGGAGGAGCTCGGGACCAGCCGCCCGACCCCCCCGCCCTCCCCGCCCTCCCCACCCTGCCCCGCCTTGCCCCTGCCCTCCCCTCTCCTGCCCTTCCCTCCCCGCCCCTCCTCGCCCCTCCCCTCCCCGCCCCTCCTCGCCCCTCCCCGCCCCGCCCCGCCCCTCCCCTCGGCTGCCGCAGCCCGCCGTCGCGCGTCCGCGTGGGCTCCCGAGCGGGTCGCTAGGTAACGGGCAGGCTCCGCAGCCCCGCGGCCGGGGAAGCCCGCGCGCACCGTCAGCCGCGGCGCGGAGGCGCGAGGGCCGGGGCGCCGGACCCTCCCCGGCGAGGCCCGCAGGCCCCGGCTCGCCGGCGGCCCCCTCGCGGGATGCCTTAGCCCGGCCGGCCGCCGCGGCCGAGGGGCGCCTCCCTCGCGGAGACCGGGGCGCGCCGGCCCCCTCCTCCCCAGTGCGCGCGCCGGGGGCGCCTCGCCGCCGCGCCGCCGCCGGTAAGCCGCGCCCGGGGCCGGGCCGGGCCGGGAGGGCGGGCGCGCGGGGGGAGCGCCTCCGCCGCGGCGGCCGGCCCCGCCATGTGCTGAAGTTTCTGGGGCCCGGCGCCCCGGCGGGAGCGCAGCGCGGCGCGGGGCGCGGTGGGTGGGGCCGCGCGGTCCTGCGGGGCGCCCGCCGCCCGGCCCCGCGGCGCCCTCGGCGCGCTCTCACGCTCTCTCTCTCTCTCCCCGCGCTGCCTCCCGAGGTCCGCCCGCCGGCCCCCGGCGCGGGGCATGAGGAGCCCCGGGCCCGCCCGGACACCGCCCGGCCGCGCGCGCCTCGCCGGCGCCTGACGGGGACATGAGCGGCGCGCGCGGGCTCCGGCGCCCGGCGGCCAGCCCCAGCCGGCGGCCCGCGGCTCGGCGCGGCCGGGGAGAATGAGGCGGGAGCCGGCGGCAGCCTCCTCGCTCCTCTCCGCCTCGCCGCCCCCCGTCTCCGGCGCCCCGGGCCCCGGCCAGACTGTGCTTGTGCTGCGTGCCCCGCGCGCCCCCGGCCCGCCTCCGGATGCGCTGCTCGGTAAGCCAGGCCCTCGCCTCGGGAACAAAGCCCCTTCGCACGGCTGGGAGGCTGCCCGGAGCCCCCCGTGCGCCCCCGCCCAGACCCCAGAAGCTGTGGGGCTCCCAGTGGAACCCCGCCACCCCCCTCAAACCTTGCCTGGAGGCTGAACTGCCAGGCGCCTTCGAGTCCTGGTGGTTCCTGGCCCCTGGGGGACGCAGGCAGATGCGGGCTTGACACGCAGGCCGAAGACCTGTTTGGTCTAGATAATGGTAAATGCAACCTGGGTTCACACTCATCCTGGGGGGGGGGGACTCTTCCATATATAGTAACCACGTAATGGGTGTGCAGGCTGTGCTGGGGAGCGTGCATGCCTCCAGACCACTCTAGGGACTAGCTCCTTTTCTTCCATGGCTCAGGTTTGGAAACTGAGGCCCAGAGAGGTTGAATGACTTAATCAAGGTCACAAGATCAGGAAGTGGGGGACCAGGGTGGGAAATCAGGGTGCTCTTTCTACGTTTCCACCTAGCTGATGCTTTTGCAACAAACACACTGCCCATTTCTTGTACTAGCTGCTTCCGTCTGATCGTTGTGTGCGTGTGCGGGGAAATACTTGTAACGACGAGTCTCTGCTCAGATGAAATATGTTGCTGGTGCATGTAGTTTTTGTCATCTGTCCACCACGTTGCTGCTTGTGCCTTATGCGAACTGTAAGTGATGAGGTTACTTCTCTTACTGAAGGGGTGAAAAATAATATGTGGCCGTGGTGCTCTCCTTCCTGATCCCCCAAAAGCTGGGAAGGGCAGCATTGGTTCCTCTCGTGTGCCCCTTCTTTGGTGTGTGTGCCCAGCACATGCTCATCCTCAAAAAGTGTGCCAAACCTTTCTGTGGGAGAGGGCTGTCCAGGCTACTGCCGTGGTTGTGTAAGGCTAGGACATGGTTACTTAACAGGCTCTGGGGCTGGCCCCAGATGGCCACTGTGCAGGAGCCGACCCTGCTGGAAATTTTCTCTTGGTGCCCATTTGCCAAGGCCCAGTGTCAGCAGGACTTCACACTTCTCAGCCCAGAGAAAGGGGGAGGAGCTTTAACGTGGCCAGGAAGCCTCCTACTTGTTCCCAACCCTCTGATTGGCACTTTGCACTGTTTGCCTGAGCACATGTGGGTCGATTCCCAAGCAGGAGTGAATCTTTTGGTCCTAGTGCGAATGGCTTGTTTAAGGGGTCAGCCGGTTCCCCGGGAGTGGGGTGTGGTTGTCTACACTACCGATAGTATAGTGTGGGTGCAGGGAAAGGCCCTTCACAGCCAGGGGCCTTGGTTTCCCTGTGCACAACAGGAGCAGGGTCCTTTGGATGACTCTTTGGGTCCCTTCCAGCTAAGCTGTCCCACCAGGGTGGGCAGAGTGGGTTACAGGACAGAACTGGCGTGTGAGCTGGTCAGACACATGCATTTGGACTAGTAGCTCAGGCTGACTAGGGTGTTGATTTCCAAGACGAGGAGGTGGTGTCGAGGGAGCTGAAAGATTCACGTTCCATCCAAAGTCGGTGGAGCAGAACCATGCTTGAGTGGATTATTTATTGAGTTAAAGCTTGGTGACTGAAATGTCTTAAGGGGCCAGGTGAGGGTGATGGGACAGGTCAAGCATTTCATTTGGAGAGTGACATGCACCCCTAAGGACTGATGAGCTATACTGGATCAACTGGGGATCCAGCACCAAGAAAATAGCAATGGGTGAACCTACCTGACCCTTCCAGGAAGAATCCATCATAGTGGCACAGCTCAAACATTGTCAGCCTGAGCAATGACTGCAGGTGAATCAAGGGTTTTAGAGTCTCCCCTCTCCCTCGCTCGCCGATTACATTAGTGATGGGGAGCCTGCCTCAGTGTGTGCCTAGAGGGACTGGGACAGAGCAGTGCCCCCCGCCCCTGGGATGTTTAGACGCCGACATAGTCTTTGCCTATTGATTATGATCAAGCTAAAGTCATCAGCTTGACATATAGGCCCTCGATGAGTTTGTCATCGGTCTTTTAGCGAGATAGATTAATGAAACCTCTGGAGTGCTGCTGAGCCGTGAATGAAATGGGTGCATCCCACCATTTTCCCCAGAAACTCGGTTCCCAGCGGGTTTTGGAAGTATTGGAAATTCACATTTTTGAGACGCTCACCGGGTCTGCGAAGGGCAGGTGATGTGTCTTGCGTGGGCATGTCAGTCTCCCACATTGTGTAGCTCCTCGTGACTAACTGAAAGGGTTTTGAATCAACGTGAGTGCAGGGAAACGGTTACTTTGCAAAAGGACAATGCCGTTACGAAAGGACCATGTTTTTGCCGAGGTGTGCCACCCTCGCCCGAGGCTGGACGCCACAGTAGAACGTGACTTGTTCTCCATGCTGAGTTTTTCATTCATCAGTTTTTTTCTTCTTTTTTTTGCCTTCTTTCCCCCCTGGCATGAAATTGTGCAGTCAAAAATAAATTCTCCCTTTTCAATTTGTCTTGGTCTTAAACTCATCTCTTTTCTAGAAGATCCCTAAAGCTGAGCTCTTCCACACTGTTTATATAATGGTATATTTATAAGATATATTTTAGGTGCCTTCGATTTCTTGGGGGCGTGCAGGACGGGGGGTGTATGTGTCACAACTGAATAACAGCAAGGAGCCCTTTCCCTTGTCAGCACCCATTGCAAGTCCCGAGTCCATATCATGAACTCTTTGGGTCCGAGCTGCCATCCCCAGCACTGTAAGCACCCAGTGCAGCATCAGTTCAAGGTTAAGAGTGTGTGCAGGTATCTCGGGGGATGTAGAGGGAAGGAACACCCTCCAGACACCAGGACACCTGGATGTGTGCCCAACTCTGCTGTCGATTGACTTTGTGACCTTGGACCAGCCATGCCGTTCTCTAAGTCTCAGTTTTCATATCTGCAAGGGTGTGCACGCTGGGTGCAGCACTAGGTATGTGTGCGCCTGTGTGTGTTAGTGATAGGTGATCCCTCCAACTTGCAGCTAGAAGAGTCCTCAGAGTTTGGATACAGCTGGTTATTAATAGCTCCGGAATGCTCGGTAAGTTAAGGTTACGTAACATCTTCAATTAGCTGTCCATATCAACAGTAAGGAACTGGTCATTCTAAAGCAGGCTACTTGTTATCCCGTAAGGGAGGGGGAAACTCTACCCTGAATTTGTGACAACAGGACTTGCATTTAAAGGCCATGATGCCAGCTTCTCCATCTGGGTCCTCCCATGGTAGAGTCTCACATTCCAAGGGGCTGGGCTAGAATGAGCCAGGACCCTCCCTAGGGTCCATGTGATGGGAAGCTCAGGACCGTTATGTGCCAGGTTAGTGGGGTGGAAGGATATGGTGTTCTCTCTGCAGCTTGGGGTCCAGGGACTCACAGGTCTTGTCTTAGCCTCTGTCTATTCCCGGAGGCACGGAGGGGAAGTATATAATTACTGTTTGCCATTGTTTTGAGAATGGAAAGGACTGGAATGAAGACCTTGAATGAAGGACTTGAACTCAGTTCAGATTGAGAAATGGTAAGACGGTGATAGATTTGACTGAGGTGTTTCCATGGAATTTTTGGGCAGGATTCTTCAAAATACCTAAGTCATCTGTTGTGGGGGGTCAGGTTCCCGAGTGAAGTTGCAGTCGCTGCCCGATAAAGAGGGGAAGAGAGGAGACAGCGGGAGGGAGGAGCCACCAGCCCCTAAACACTTGGTCCTCACAACTCTGCAGAGAGGGTCCACGAACCCTGCTTCTAGATGGGAACCCAGGAAAGCACTGAAATGTGTTGCTCAGACACCATTAATGACTGGCAGAGCTGAGGCACTTTCAGATGCACCTGCTGGGGCTCCAGGCACCCCACACCACACCTCATTTCCACTGTTGCTGCCGCATTTCTGGCAGCCAAGTGGTGGTCTTCACCCCGAGTCCAGATCACACCATGACACGCAGCAGAAAGCAGAAGGTGGGCCGTGAGCACAGGGAGGGGTGAGTGTAGAGGGATAGAGCTCCCAGCTTCCCGGGCATTTCGTTAGAACTGGGATTTCTTGTACCTCTCTGTCAAATGCGGTTGATTCCGGAGAGATTCACAAGTAAGCCAAATGTTGCCCCCAAAGCGTTAGTGTTGTAGTTTGGGGGGAAACTGAAATAGCTCCCTTAGGTGTGTGTCACCCTGGGGCTCCGCGGGAGGAGCTCACAAGTGGGCGCGCAGGACATGTGGCCAGCCTGCCCCTCCTGGAAAGGGCCACAGACTGTAAGTTACGTAACGGCTGGGAGGAGCCAGGGTGCCCCCACGGGTTAATCCTTGCCAGGCGGCAAACCAGAGGAGGAGGAACAGATAGGAGCGCTTAAAGGGTCACCTCCAGCTCTTAAGTATTTCCAGGACTTGGGAGGAATGTAGCTTTGGGAGAACTTTTCAAGCCGCCAAATACAGATGCTGTCACATCAGATATCTTGTGTGGCCTGCGGGTGTCCGCCCACGTTAGTGGAGCTGCGGCTGCTCTTGGCTGGCGGCCTGCAGGTTGGGACCAGTGTCATCCAGCAGCACAGGAGACTCCAGAATCCCGCCTGTAACACACGACTTACCGAGAGGAAAGGGGCCGTGGAAACACTCCAGCCCCCTCTCCCGGCCTCATATTCTATTAAGTACTCTCGACTGGCTCACCAGCTTATAATCCTCCAGGCCTGAGGTTGGCCTTGCCCAGGTGATGCCAGTGGGGTCTTGCCCAACGGGAAGCCCCTTACCTCTCTGCTCAGGTTCCTAGGCTGCTGACAGGCCAAGACCTTCACATTTTGGTGATTAACATGAAGAGGGAGACGGAATGAGGTAGACTGAGGTGGATAACTCACTTGTGGTTCTTCTGTCACCTGCAAAATGCCCAGACAACTGAGCAGCTGGTGCAGAGTTTTGATTTGGTACATTACATTCACCAAGTAGCAGCACGAGTCTCCAACAAGACCCCTAGCGTCTGTACCTTTTGCCCCCCATCTTGAGAGAACAGAAGGCCGGGCCAGATTGCTCTCAGGTGTAG